AAGCCTTCGGATGCTGCCTTGGGTGGGGCTCCTCCAAAGTAGCCCTTGAAAAGATGTGGTGTCAATGTCTTACTTGAGAGACAACCTCCAGGAAGTGCTGTCCAGGAGTTGTGAAGGTTGGGGTGCAGGGTACAGTAGGAGATTTCATGCTTATAGATAAACACAGGCACCAGTGTTACCTGCCACAAGCTGCCAACACATAAAACACATGTCCTTGAGGAGCTTTCTGTGTGAATCCCTGCAAGATTTTGGACAGGGTCTTAGCTCTCAGGGGCTTCTTGGGTAAACCTGAGGTAGAGTGAGAAATTATATATGACTCCCTTTTTCTCCTCTGAGGATCAGGCTGTATTGATCTTGATTACACAGTAGACATCTACAGGGTGTGGCTGTGACAGGTTTTAGGTGTGGGAAATGCTGCATATTAAGCCATCATCACCGGCATTATTTTTGCATTTGCTTCATTTCTCTGGTGGAGTTCATTGAGCGTCGCTGGTTAGCATTTCCTAAGTGTGAATCTGTGAACACATTAGGGCTTCATGTAGGACTTGCAAAGGGAGAATAACAACAACTAAATACACAGGACTTTTGGGGGATTTGACAAGAGGGTTTGATGAACAGGCCCAGTATCTGGAATGCAGACAGGTGATGGATTTCTCAGCCCTGGGCCAACGAGGGACCTTTTTCTAACTTGTAGGGAAAGGGATTAGGGTGGTGCAGGGGCTAGATTACAGGACTGAGGAGGAAGTGGGACAAAGGTAAGTTGAACACATACATGACTGTCTATAGAGTCTTGTCATTAAGAATCAGAAGCCAAGCCTCAGCTGCAGACAGGATCCTGAGGGCAAGAGATCAGCTGTGGGCTGTGGGGAGAAGAGAATGGCAAGTGCCTCCTTCCACGGCTTCTCTAGTTTTCTTTTCCTTTCCTGTCTGCCTGGCAGGGTCTGGGAGGCTCTGACTGGAGCTTTGTGTGTGTGTGTGTGTGTGTGTGTGTGTGTGTGTGTGTGTGTGTGTGTATGCACGTGCACATGCGTGCGGATGTCTGAGTGTATACGTGTACATGTGTGTGAATGCATGTGGAGACCAGAGGACAACCTCAAGTGTCACTCCTCCAGTGCCATCCACTGTATTCTTTTGAGGAGGGGTTACTCATTGACCTGGAACTTGTCATATAGGCTATACTGCCTAGCCAGTGAGCCCTAAGGTCATCTCTATCTCTGCTCCCCGAGTGCTGGGATTTTTTTTAATGTGGTTTTTGGATATCATACTTGGGTCCTCATGCGTTCAAGGCAAATACTTTCTGGACTGAGCATGACATTTTAAACGCAGACTCAAATATTCCCCGTCTGGAGACAGACTCTCTCATCACAAAACAACTGTTCCTTCCAAACCCTGTGTAACTGTCCCAGTTGCTCCTAGGAAAACTTCCCCCCCCTCCCTTTCCAGGGCCCAGGCATATGTGACTATGGGCCTTTAGTCTCAGAACATGCTAGCCTCAGATGTAATTTTCCTATGTGGCCCAAATCTGGAAGGCACTGTGAGAACGTTGAATGACAAGGACACTGGGTCTCAGGCCTGACTGGAGAGAGCTTCCCCAGAGCAGATGAGGATCCTAACCCTGTGAGTGTTGTGGGAAGGAGCTGTCTGTCTGCTCTGGAGGCAGGGGTATCATTTCACCAACGCCAGACGAGGTGAGTCCTTGGCTGCCCGACAGGGCATAATGGGTCTTGCTTCGTGTATGGTGATAAAGGCTGAGAGAAATTAAGCCGGGACAGATCTGTGTCTCCTGTAGCAGCCACAGTTGCTGAATCTGCCATTTTTGAGAAAGTGAAATTCCAGTCCCCTTACCTCCCCTGGCTAGGCTATCAGGACATGCTGTGGAGTATCAGCTGACCCTTCTGGCTTTTTGTTAGAAATGGAATTCTTGTGTGGACCCTGTCCATGCTGCTGTATCCAATCTGGACTAGATGCATCTGGACCTTGGGGAGAAGAAAACTAGGGAACTCTGTGGCCAGCCTTCTTCTTGGTGGCTGCTTTGGTCATTGAACCCTCAGTGGGTGTGATGGTAACATCATTAGGAGGTAGGACCTTTGGGTAGTGATTAGGTCATCAGGGCAGGGTTCTCTTGAGTGTGATTAATATTCTTATAAAAGGGGTCTCAGAGCCAGTCCTTCCCTTTTTCTATGGACAAGTATAGCAAGAAGGCTCTGTATAAGAAAGCATGCACTCATTGAACCCTGAACTTACCAGATTTGTGGGTGCCTTGATCATGGACTTCCCCACTTCCAGGACTTTGAAAATTAAATTTCTGTCATTTATGAGCCACCAAATTTATGGTATTTTCTCATGGTAGCCTGACTGGACCTGTATTGGAGGTGAGTGTGGGAAGGGGGCCAACTTATACCCTACCCTCTAGAGAAATGATTCAGTGGTCACTTTCTGCCCTTCCACCTATTTTACAGATGGAAAAGGGAGAGAGAGAGAGAGAGAGAGAGACAGACAGACAGACAGACAGACAGACAGAGACAAAGACAGAGAGAGAGAGACAGAGAGAGAGGAGAGGAGAGCTGGGACTTGGGACAATTGGAAAGGGCCGATGGAAGGCAGGATGGTGAATTTGAGTTTTGTTCTGACAGTACCACACTCTCTGAAGCTTTAGACAGAAGAGTGAGATCCTGAGAACTGCAGTTTAGAAAGCGCCCTGGCTGTGAGTTCTAGTGTGTGGGCACTGCCTTCTCTGAGTGGTCTGTCCTAGTGCCTATACCATCTATGGAGAGGCAGGATAGAGTCAGGTGGGAAATCTAAGCAGAGATACAGGAGAAGGGCAGAGTCAGGGCGGAGTCTGGGCAGATGCCAGTAGCCGCCAGAGCAAGATGTATTAGAGAACAGGTAAATACCACAAAGCCGTGTGGCAAAATATAGATAAATAGAAATGGGTTAATTTAAGTTGTAAGAGTTAGTTAGTAATACGCCTGAGCAATAGGCCAAACTGTTTGTAAATAGTTTGTAATTATTGCTAAACCTCTGAGTGATTGTTTTAAAAGTGACTGGGGGACTGGGTGGGACAGAAAAGCCTCTGTTTACAACATGTACACCTCCTAGCCAAGTTTCACATACATGTTTGTGAATGTATTATGACCCAAAAGATCTGGCATGGATGATGCATGGGGAAACAGTACCGGCTATTCATTGCTGTGTAACCATGCTTTTCAAGTGTAATGGTTTCAAGCAATACTCTTGGCTGGGTTCTGTGCCCAGGGCATTACAAGACTGAAATCAGACTAATCAGAATTGGGCCAGATAAGATTCTGGAGGAATCTGTTGTTAAACCCTTTCATGTTATCTATAGCCCCCTTTACTGTGTTTTCTGAAGCTCCTGTTTGCTTGTTGGCTGCCATGGATCTTCCCTCTGCCTCTACGATCCCTCACATTCCTTCTATGGTCTTTCCCATTTTCAAGCCTTGTTCTACCCCCAGCAGGAGAAATACTATAGAGAATGTACCCAGATTGTTTCACCTCTCCAGTAGCCCTTGTGGGGAGAACTAGATTTAGGCCCCAGGGGTAATTTTCTTTTGGCAATCAACAGTAAAGCAGAAACATCAAACAATGCATTGTAACATCTGGTTATGGCCATGGGTCTGGGAATCTTGGGGGCTGTTTCTAGAAATTCTGACTATTCCCATAGTATAGATTCCTGTATGCCAGAGTCCTGGAGGGCAGAAGGGTTGCTTAGCTTTCTGGTGTCATCAGCTATTGCTAATGAGTAAGGACATCAGGCTCTCTGACTCCAGCATGGACACTATTCTAGAGCTTGTTGCTGTCATGTGGAGCATTCAAGACAATGACATCTTAATTCCTGAGTCTTTCCTAGTTATGAACCTTCCTCCCTTTGTGAGTTATTTTCTAGGAAACTGAAGTCCTAGAAAAATGGTCAAGTCCTGCCTCTATCATCTTAACTCTCTAGGCTTAGTGATTTTATCTCCTCATTTACCAAGTAGTTTGTAAAACATTATTCTTATTCTTACGGACATGTACCTTTAACTTTAAACACTTTAATTGTATCAACAGATGATAGACAAATGTATAGATAGATAGATAGAGAGAGAGAGAGAGAGAGTGTGTGTGTGTGTGTGTGGGTGGGTGTGGGTGTGGTGTGTACCAATGCATGTGCCACAGTGTACGTGTGGAGCTTTGAAGATACCTTTTAGAGTCAATCTATTTCTACCATGTGGGTCCTGGGAATTGAACTCAGGTCATTAGGCTTAGTGGCACTGAGTCATCTCACTGGTCTCAATTTTTCTTTTTAGAGGGCAGTGTCTTTTTAGCCTAGGCTGGCCTCAAACTTGCTAGGTATCTAAGACTGGCTTTGAATTCCTGATCTCTTTGCCTCTACTTCCCAAGTGCTGGGACTACAGGCAGCTGCCACCATGCCCAGCTCAATGTGTACATACATTAACTTGCAACGAGTCTTCAGAAAAGCAAGCTGCAAAGTAAAAGTAATTATACAACGTGATTCTACTTTTGTAAAAAAAATCTAAAAATAATAAGCACCAGTAACAGAAAATGTCTAAGGGTTTTATTTATTTGTTACAATGGGTACTTATTACTTTTGAAATGAAAAATAAAAACAATCAAAACAAATTTAAAAGTTAAAATGAAAACAGCATCCTTGAAATTGCCTAGCACAGCACCTGACACATGATAGGTCGTTGTTCCCCCACTCCTCTCTATATATGCCCAGAAAGCCACAGCCAGACAAGGAAGAAGAAATCAGAACACCATGGGCTCCTGTCTGACGGTCTAGGGAAGGAGAAAAGCAGCCTTCATTCCTGGAATCCCAAAATAGTCCTGTATGTTGACCTCAAAGATTTTAAGAAAAACCTCTCCTCCCCTGGGCTCTGGGCAGAGCACTTTTCTGGGGAAGTGAGGATGTAAAAGGTCTGTTGTCAGGTTATGTTGTTAATGTTCTTCTCCTGATTCCCTTCTTTCTGTTTTAACATCAGGGATGGAGTTGACCAAGTGACCTTTGGGTAGACAAGTTTTCCAAGCATCCAGAGGAGCTGTTGCTGCCTATGGAAGACATATGCTTATTCATTCCTGGTGATGCCCTGGCAGGGCAGGTGTAAGGTGACTCTCCATGAATCTCAGGTGCATCCCTGTGTGGTCAAGGTGATGTGGGTGAGGTGGGGTTGTTACTGCTGTCCTTTCTTTCTAAAATGCCAAGGTTTCAGCATTCCCAATATTTTGTTTAAAGAATATTTTCAGGACCAACTCAAGGGTGACAACTTCTTATTTTGCCAAGCAAGGGCCCAAAATGGGGAAAAACGGAAACATTCATCTGCTGCAGAATCATCTTAGTACTTCTGGTACACAGAGCATCATTTCAAAGGGCATTCTATCACCAGGAAGGGCCCTTAGCCCACATGCAACAGGCTAAAACATTTGACTTATTTCACTATAGTAAAATGAAATGCTGTCACTATTTGTAACATGTTTGGAAGTCGTGATGTCATAGGTAAGGTTTGGGGGCTAGGGAAGTCTTGTTTCAAACATCTCTGACCCGTTTATCTGTTGTGTGACTTGGAAGCCAAGTGACCCCTTTGAGCCTTAAATGTCTCATTTACCTCCGGAGTAGATAAGGTACCATGGTGTGAATACTGTAAGAAACTGGACAGGTTTGCTCTTATGAAGTGCCTGGGGTGGCCCTAAGCATATAATTGAAGAAACACACCAGGCTTTTTCTTTTTTAATCTTTAATCTTTAAGGTTTTACAACTTAAGTGACACCCTTTGGGTGTCTGGAAGGATAAGAAGTATGTGGAGACGAAAACAGCTTCTTGGAGTGCACGCTACTTCATGGAGGGTCACTTTCAAGCCAGACATGCACTACTTAAATGTCCTCCTTCTTTTTTCAAGACAGGGTTTCTCTGTATTGCTTTGGAGCCTGTCCTGGAACTCACTCTGTACACGAGGCTAGCCTTAAACTCACAGAGATCCCCCTGCCTCTGCCTCCTGAGTGTTGGAATTAAAGGTGTGCACCATCACTGCCCAGCCCCCCTCTTCTTAAGTTAGGATGGAGTTTCAGTTCCACGTTCTCACCCAGGCTCCTCCCCTGCTGCCAGGTGTCCAGATGCTTTACAGATACTCCAAGCTTCTGCCACCTTTCTCCTCTCCAGGCTTCCTTTTCCTTCTCTGTTAATGTCCTAGCAAATGGAACCACCATCCATTTATTTTATCAAGGTAGTAATTCTCTTTCTTTCTATGCTTGCTCTACCTTTCTATCTTCCCTGCCTCTTGTTCTCCAAGTCCATCCAGACACCAGGCACCAGGCTTGACCCACTGACTTACAAAATCTTTGTTGAGTCTGTGAACTCTTGTTTGCTGTGCGCTGCCTGCCTTTGACCCTTTCTGCTTCACCTGCTCTGTGCAGAATTGTTTGGACCTTTAGATCACCAGATGCTGCCCTGGAATCCATCACATCATCCATTGTGGGCTTTCTAAAGTTCAGACCCAGAGATGTAGACTGTCCTGACTAAAACCTTGTGGGTCTTCTAGGGCCACATGGAAGGGCTGTATCAGTACAATACTCACTGTCTGACTTCTGCACCCCACTCCCCTGGTTTTACAGTGCATGTCATCCCAGCAGACACCTGTATCTAAAATTCATCATGTTAAAAAAAACCTTGCACTCTGAATACTGGAGATCCTTCACAAGCCAATGTCCTCTGGCACCGCTTGTCTGTCTAGTGAACTCTAAAGATACTACTCAGTGCCCCAGATAGATGGCTCAGTTGGTAAAGTGCTGGTGTGAGACTAGGAAGAACGCACATCTGGTGACTTGGCGTCCATGATTGGGTGAGGTGTGGACTCACTTGAAAGTTTATACTACAGGGATCGCAGTTCTCTTCTGGCCTGTGTCCCAGAGACCTGAGAACTGCCAGGTGTGTCTGACCCTTACAGCTTCGACCCTTACCAGTCACAGGTCCTACAACTCTTCAATATAGGCAACACAGAATTGTTGATCATTCTGTGTCCAGTCAAATGAGGGCTAGCAGTGGCGAAGACACCAGATGTCACCAGGAACCCAGAGACAGAGATCACAGATTTTCTGAAACTTAGCAGAAAACCAGCTGTTGTCTTCTCCAGTACAGAATCCTGTGCTTTAAAGGGCATTATCTCACCTCTTACCTAATTTGATCCTAAACAGGTTTTTTAATTATAAAAATATTATGTGTGTATAAGTAAATATTTATGCAAAATTATGCAAATATTATGTGTATGATTAAGTATTGAAGAATATACATATTTATGCTTGATTACCTAGAGACTTATAATTACATTTCTTTTTCTACCACCGAGCCATCAAGACTGACACAAAAATGGCATTATAGGAATTTAAAACTGGTAAAGAAAATTCATGTTCAGTAGGTAGAGACTGCCTATAATTCTGTACAGAGACAGGATAAGGCAGCCTCTGGACTCAGTGACATGAAAGCCACAGTTGAATAGTGATGTCTATCATTTGTTTGGAAGAGAGCAATGGTGGTGATCGCTGGTCCTCTGACTGGATGGACTTCCATTTCTATTACTTTCTCCACATAGTGACTCAAATAGATCTAGACTTCCTGTTATCCAAAAGACCTAGGGATGTGTCCTGGGTCCTCTGGCTTTCTCCTCACCTTCATCAATGCCCTTATACCGTGTACATTCAAAGTTTTCTCTGGGACTAATAGTGCTCACACCATGGTGTGCTGGAGAGAAAAAACCAGACTAACTCTGGCTTGCAACACTTACCGGTTTCCATGGTATAAATCTATCATGGTCCATTTCAAGACACCAATTATATTTCTGAGGAAAAGTTGAACAGACACACATAGTTGGCTTACTCAAGCTCACCATGGTTTTGTCTGGACGCTTCTGTCTAGTCTGTAGTCAGCATTCCTGCTATCCACCCTAGAGACGCTCTGTACTCCTCGTGGCTGGTGGAGAGCAGGGTTTAGTCAACGTCAACCACCACGGTCTTCAGGATGTTTTCCATTCTGCTGACACCTCTGGCCTGCACTTGTCTAGTTTCTTGTTTATTGAATGAACGAACACACTAATCTAATTTAAGAAGAAATACATGGATTATTTGTATTCTAATTGGAATCTTCTCCCTTAACTGTCTTTTGACAATGAAAATTTGCTCCAGATTTTACATTATTTGTTATCAGCCACCTAATGGATCGAGTAGTTTTTGCCTCATTATCCTTTTAAAAAACTATTATTGTTGTTGTTGTTTTACACCCTGACCACAGTTTCCCCCTCCCTCCTCTCCTCCCAGTCACTCTCCCTACCTCCCTTCTGACTCCATTTACTACTCCTCCATTTCTCTTCAGACCTCCCATGGCTATCAACCAAACATGACACATCAAGCTGCAGTAAGACTAGTCACCTCCCCTTGTATTAAGACTGGACAAGGCAATCCAGTATGAGGAAAAGGGTCCTAAAAGCCATCCAAAGAGTCAGAGATGGCCCCTGATTCCTCTGTTAGGAGTCTTATAAGAAGACTAAGTTACAACTAACATAATTGCAGAGGGCCTAGGTCAGTCCCAAGCTGGCTCCCGGGTGGTTGATTCAGTCTCTGTGGGCCCCTTTATCATTTTCTTACAAGGCGGCTTTCCTTCTCTTTTCAATAAGATATTCAAGAATGTGAATGGATATCCAACTTATAAAAGATAATGACAAAATGGTAACCTTAAAACCTTAGAAAGCCTCCAACTTAAAAGCTAGATCTAAATGTTTTTCTGACTTCAGGCCACCCCACATTTAGCCAATTCATATTTCTTCTTCACCTTTCAATCCACCCTTCTTAGCGCCTTCTCTTTCAGCTTCTGATTCTTCCTCCTTAGAGTCCACTGTTGCTAATCCTCTATCCTTGACATTTGGGTTCCAGCTATGAGAAAAAGTGTGGACTCAGAGTATCTGGATGAGGTAAGGGTTCCATAGAGGAATGCAATGTGCAGGCCAGTGTTGGATAAGGAGCACCTAGGTATATGAGAAAATAAGGAAGGTTTTAGATTGTAGATCCCAGTGAGGTTTTAAAGCATGAATAGGAGCTTGCTGTTTGTGTACTCTGATGATGTGTATTACCATGAGAAAACATGGGTTCTCAGGAGAAATGAGATGAGTTCAGTTCTCTGGAGTTTAACCTGAGGGGGAATGTTGGGAGATGTGGCTAGAAGGGAGAAGGTAAATGTGGTTAAGAGACCACTAAAGAGGTTATTATGTGTCTTACTGCTGAAAGCCATAGACTCTAACATGCAGGCTTTCCAATTGATCCTAGCCCTTAGTATCCCCCTTAGCGTGAGTGTGACCAATTATTGGGACTTGGCTCACTAGATAGTTCATATGCTCGTCTCAGATTAGAAACTTCTAGAAATATTTCCAACTCCATTATCACAATTTAAAAAACTACTTTAACTTGGAATTGGCAACTGGCTCAGTCAGTAAAGTGCTTAATGCAGAAGAAGCCTGATGGCCTGAGTGTGGCTTCCCAGCATTCCATGGAATCCAGGCATGGCAGGTTGTGCCTATAGTCCCAGTGCTGGGGAGGTAGAAGCAGGAGGATTCCTAGGGCTTGCTCACCAGCCACCTTAGCTGAATTGGTAAACTCTAGGTTGAGTGAGAGACCCTGTCTCAAAAAAAAAAAAGGTGGAAAGAATGGAGAAAGACAGCTGACCTCTGACTTCAATATGTCCATATGCACCGACACACATGTAGCTATACCAGGACATACACGCACACAGACATAGACACACGCACACACACACACACTCACACACATGTTAACCAGCAATAGTTTTATTCTGATATGGGAGGATACTTTAATTCAATAATGGGTTGCTCTGGTGGTAAAATTTCTAGCCCATGCAGTGGTAGGAGGGAGGGACTTTGAAGGAATCTGCTTTTTCCCTGTCAAAATTTACATCATCTATGGTGTGGTGACATTCCTTGTGTAGACTGTTGTTCCTTTGCTCACGTATGCACAGGTGGCTCAATGACAGTTTCTTGAGGTGCTGGTTTCAGAGAGACCTATGAAGAGGCAGTTTCTGCAGGGGAAGAAGTGTAGGTTTTTGGAATCACCAGGCTTGGCTGCAGTTGGACATTCATGTCTCTGACTTCATGGAAGGAGCAAACATGTCCTGAGTACCCAGTCTGTGCTATGTATGGGCTTGCTATGTTCAACTATATTTTACACATGGGAAACTGAGTCTCAGGGACATTCTGGTGACTTCCTGGCTGGGGATACATTCTTGCCTCACACTCTCATTTTGCAGTTGCTCAGTTGTGAGGCATGGCTGAGGAAGGATTCTTCCTGGGGCTGTTGCACGGATTGAGGTGATTATGACAGCACCAGGTGGTGTATGTGTGCTCCTCAAAGATGACTCTTTCTGTCCTTTCCGTGGCGGTGAGACTGGCTGCATGTTCAGCAAAGACTGCTTCAGTAGAAGGTCCCTGGGGAGAAGCATGTGTTTGCTCTGGGCTCTGAAGTCCCTGGTGCCCACAACTTAATAGACTTACAATTGGTTAATTTTCTCTTGACATTGATCAGCAATGGGTCGCATCTGGCACTGCAGGCCTGGCCCTTGGGGGGAGCCACGAGATGCCTGGCCTGGCCTCCCTAACCAGAAATTCAATAACTTTTTCATATAAATTGTCCGTAAGAGAAAACTTCTTGTTTTCAGCCATTGCCGCTGCTTCAGCAGTTTTCTGTACAAGATGAAAAACTTTTGCATTGAGCAAAATACAGATTTATGGTCAATAAAGTGAAGTTTAACAGTTTATAGGGGCCATACTTTCTTTCTTAAAAACCGATATTAAAAGCCATTTTTCCCAGTCTTTGTAAAAATGGCTCCCTATCAATCAGCATCTCAGTTTGTTTAAATGATGGGGAATTAGGAAAACCCCACTCACTCATCAGAGAGATGCAGATATCTGCCCATCTGTCCTGGAGCCTGGATAGATGAGGAGTATTGCTCAACACTGAACTTGGACAAGTTGGAAATTAGAAGTCTTTTGGAGTCAGAAGTGGGCTGAGTGTCATAAGGGGTTTGAAGTGTGGAGGGTGTCTCCATTATTTCTAAGATCTGTCTGGTAGCTTTCATTTACCCAGCACACATTTGTGAGCACGCATAAGCCACTAGGTGCTGTATGTATGTTATTTGGTATTGCTGAATTAGACATAGTGGGGTTAACATAGTGTGATGGTTTGAATGTGAATGGCCCCCATAAGCTCATATATTTGAATGTTTGGTTGCCAGCTGGTAGATTGTTTAGGAAGGATTAGGAGGTGTGCCTTGTTGGGTGGGGGTGGGGTGGAGTGGTGAGCATTTTGCCTGCTACTTATGTATAAGCTCTCAGCTACTGCTCCAGTACTGTGCCTATCTGCCTGCTACCATGCTCCCCACCAAGATGGTCATAGACTCACCCTCTAAAAGTGTAAGCAAGTCCCCAGTTAAATGCTTAAAAAATAAGTTAGCTTGATCATGATGTCTCTTCATAGCAATATAAAAGTAACTAAAATGCATAGATAAGTAACAGTACCTTCCTCCTGTCCAAGTGCCCACTGTGGGGCAATAATTGAGAGTAGAATCTGGGATGGGTTGTATAAGGACATCTAGGAAGGGTGTCTGTGTGGCGACTTCTTAGAGAAGGTGATCCCTGATCTTAGCCTTGAAGACAAATGAGAAGAGGTGATGGGACAGGACGACTATTGATGGGGATGTCCTTAACTCCATCAACAGACTAGGTTTCCTGTTGGACCATGTTCCTGTAGGGTAGCTGGGTAAGCAGTACTTGGTCTGGCAGCGGCACCCAAGCCTGCCATCAGCTTGCAGCTTTGAGTCTGTGCTCCTGCGGCTTCTGCCCAGAGTCTGTATGAGACTGCTGCTTGGTGACATCCTGATGGAGAGAGATCTTCCCTTTCCTGCCTCTTTACCCTCTTACCCTTCTCCATAATGCAAGACTCTCAGAGTGGTAGACATCATTGTGTTGAGGGCAACTGAAGGAAAGTATCAGAAAGGACAGTGTGTAATGCTTTTTATGACTGACCAGAGTTCCAGAAAGAGTACTGACAATAAAAAGGGTACTCTGAAGGAGTGCCGAGTCTCCTTTTGCCCTAAGAGAAGAATCATTCTCATTAAATCTGTCTGGGTTCCAGTGTCAGCTATTCCCCATATTCTGGCAATCACATTCCTCTGTGGTTATTCCCCTGCCCTTTAAAACTTGTTCTCACACCCACATAACACTGTCTGTCCGAACAAGTGACAATGGGCTAGCTTTCCCATTGTGGCTCTCAGTGGGCAGTCCTAGAGTCCTCTCATATGTATTCTGTCCAGGGCTGGCCAGGACCTACAGAAGACACACTGCTAACTGCCTCTTAACAGAAGAGAGAGGGGGCTTGGAGATACTGTTCTTTAGTCCTGTTGATATTCGTAGCTGTGCATGTTCCTTGTTACAAGCTTTATGACTGAAATGTCTACTGCAGGCTCATGCATTTGAAAACTTGGTGCTCTGCTGGCAGTGCTTTTGGGGCCCTATGATGACCAGTGTTGTTAAAGTGACAAAATCTAGAGTCACCTGGGAGATGTGCCTCTGAGCATGCCTGTGAGGAATTGTCTTGCTTATGTTAATTGATGTGTGAAGATGCACCATTCCCGGAGTGGGATCCTGGACTACACAAATGGAGAAAGCTTGCTCAGTGCTAGCAAGCATGGCTTCCTGGGCTGCTCTCTGATCCTTTACTTTGGGAGTGATGTCACTACCTGCCTCAAGCACCTGCCTCTGTGACTTCCCCAACAGTGCTGGACTGTGAATTTGAACTGTGAGCTGAAATAAACCTTCCTTTCTTAGGTTGCTATTGTCAGAGTACTTTATCACAGCCTCAGGAAAAGAAGCCAGGTCAGGAAGGTGGCGAAGCTCTTGAGACAGGTGGTAGAAGGATGTCACTAGGGAAAGACCTTCCAAGGCTCTGAACCCTGCCTGAGCTTATTGCTTCCTAATCAAGCCATAATGTGAGAAGCGGCTGACACACAACCCTGCTTCCACAGTGGACTGTCCCGTTGGTACCAGGGAACAAAATAAACTTCTCCTTTCTCAAGTTGTGTCCATAGGGTGTTTTGTTAGAGTGCCAGGTAAGGTAATTAATACAGTCCCAGATACTTGAGCCCAGCAGAAACTTGGTGCAGGGGCCTTGGAATGTGCTCTTCAATCTGATGTAGTGTATGCAGTCCACATTTGGAATGGTAAGGCTTAAGATCCAGTGTGCAAAACTCCAGTGTATATTCTATTTTACTAGTTCAATCCAGAGTGGATGCATTCTGAACTGCCCAGAAGCTACATGTGGCTGATAGACTGCCAGCACACATGGAGATGGAGTTGGGATAGATGGGAGAGAGGAGGGAAAGACCAGAGGTGATGCTTCAAACTTCACTCTAAAGACGGCGGGGCAGGCATGGAAGAATTTCAATACAGGAGGGTTGTTACCACATTCCCATTTTAGGAGGATCCTCTGGTTATCCAAATGAGAAGGTATCAGGAGAAGCAAGTATGTTTGGAGGCTTTCACTAGAAGGATTGCTTTCTGGAGGTCAGGACCTAATGGGCATTGAGAGGGCTGTGTTGATTCCAGACTTGGAAGGAAGCAGAACCCACAAGGCAGATTTGCCTGTGCTGGTGTAAGGATGACAGGAGTCAAGGAGGGTATGTTCTACTCTATATAATGTGGGGGAATGCTGGACCACTCAGTGAGTGGAAAGGGATGCGGGGGTTGAGAGTGGGAGATGGTGAGGGAGGTTAGGAACATGTCAGTTTAGGAGTCCTGTGGATGCACATCCAAGTAGAGGAAATGAACTCATGGGTCTGGAGTTGAGAAGAGAGAGAGGATGGGCTGGAGTGGTGGTTCTAGGAGAGACCAAGCCTGCCTCTGACTGTGGTGGACCTTTCCCCAGTTTCTGCCTCCCATCTTGATGATTGACATGGAGAGCGTCCTTCTAGTGTGAGCACAGAGCTCTACTCACACTCTGGGAAGCTCTGCAGCTGAACTGTTAGATGGAGGTCTGTTCAAGTGGATTCTCTCCGGTTCTGATCCTGTGTCCCAGGCCTTTTCTTTTGACCACCCAGCTTGGATGTTTGGCAAATGTCTAAGATGGATTAGATTGTCTAGAGACAGGGAGCAGGGGCCGGGCTGAGCCTGCCTGTCTCTGACTCAGAACTCAGGGCCCCACCTCTCCTGAACACCTACCTGCCTCTAACCCACACTTAAAGCTTCCACCCAATGTTAATTCTCTTGGTCCTCTACTTCTAATTTTTTTTTCCTTTTCAGTTTTGGAGCTCAAAAATCAAGCCCTTGCAAAAGCTAGCCAACCACTACCACTGAGCTACACTCCTGCCCCGAAGTTCTTGACAGGCACTGGCAGTCCTTTTAGGCTCTATCCACAGCTGACATTCAGGCCAGAAGGATGGATTCTCCCAGACACCAATGAGGTGGGCATCAGATAGCTCCCAACAACCAGCCCTCTCTAAAATCTTCCCTCGCTGAAGAGAGTCCCATTATCCAATGCTACGCCACTTTGCTGGACCATCCCACACCCAATGACTGGTCAATAAAGAGACCAATGCTGGATATCCCCCCACCTAAGTTTGGAGTGATTCTGAAGGGCCACTGCAGCTTCAGAGCTCCTTGTAGGTAAGCTGGTACTGCACTGTCACAGCTGTATCACCCTCTGTGTCTCCCTGTGCTCAGTCTTGTGTGTGTGAACCTCAAGACCAGCTTCCAATAAGTATCCTGAGTCAGAGCCTCCATCCTTATGTGTTGTAGAATATTAATAAGATGTGTTACATTTGCTTATGCTCTAGAACATCTGTTCCAGATGCACGTGTCCCAGATGTGTTGCTTTTGTTTATGCTGCATTTGTTTAACTCTGTTAGCTGCGATTCATGGCCTGTCTAAAACACCTGGTGCTTTAGTAAAGAGCTGAACAGCCAATAGTGAGGCAGGAAAGAGGATAGGTAGGGCTGGAAGACAGGGTATAAATAGAAGGAGAAGTCTGGAAGAAGAAGGAGGAACAATAGAACAAGGAGAGGAAGATGTCAGGGGCTAGCCACCAAGCTACCCAGCCAGTCATGGAGTAAGAGTGAAAGCAAGATTACAGAAGTAAGAAATAGAAAAAACCCAGAGGCAAAAGGTAGCTGGGATAATTTCAATGAAGAAAAACTGGCTAGAAACAAGCCAAGATAAGGCCGGGCATTTATAAGTAAAAATAAGCCTCCGTCCATGTGTGATTTAGTTGGGAGCTGGGTGGCGGGCCACCCAAAAGAGGAAAGAGAGTAAAACAAACAAATGAACATCAGTGATGTCGGCTTCCCAGGAAACAGCACATGCTGCTTGGCTTTGACACTGGTTTGAAACTCCAACTCTGATCAGATGTTACTGGCATGTGTGCACATGCGCACGATCTTAGTCATTCACTCATTTGGCCACCAGATATCATCTTTGGACAAACTTCAGAATGTACTCTTCTTAAATGTCTCCTTTCACTCCTTTCCTGTCATCCACTTTCCCTTCACTCCACCTCTCCTTTCACGACTACAATCTCTAATGACAATAAAAAATAATCCCTCACCTCCAGGTGTTTCCCATCCTCAGCGTCTGTCTCCCTTGGAAATGGGGCAGAGACAGAGGAGAAATCTCAGCACCTATTTAGTGCGGTTTCCTTATTGTTTTGTCCCCCAGGCAGACAGGGCATGAAAGGCAGAAGGCATCTGAGGGCTGTGTCCTTGGAGTCCCTCAAGCAGGGCCTTGGGGGGCGGGTGAAGATTTCTGCAAGGATCTGGGATCTCAAGAGCCAGAGTCGCAGCTCACGTCCCCTCAGAACAATGAAGCTTGATGAACGGGGTGTGACGTGCAATTGCAGATGAATGTCAAGCTGATTCCCTCCGACATTTGCCACGGTGCATGTGTGAGCACAAACCATGTTGTCCCGGGAGGGCTCAAGATCGGGTTCTAAGTTTCCCAACTTCCTGGCCTCAAATTGATGTATACAAAGAAGAGAGAGAGAGAGAGAGAGAGAGAGAGAGAGAGAGAGAGAGAGAGAGAGAGAGAGATCCACAAAGCAATATTTCCCAAGGCAAAGGCTGACATTATGACCGACTCTTTAAGCGCTCCTATTGCATATATTTTTTTTCTCAATAGCATCCTCTGACTGCCGAAGCTCTTCCCTGCCAAAAGCAGCCATTATAAAATTATGACTTGCGCATATATAATGTTTGTGTTCAACAAGAAAACAGAAACGCCACCTTCTTTTGTGGTTACAGCTGCACAATTCACATCCGGCGGGATTGATCATATTAAGGTTATGCAATCATCTAATTGCAGAGACAAGCCTTGAGTAATAACTCCAAATGCTCGCACTTCAATCTGCATGACAGAGTCATTGCTGAGTCCTGATTAGCGCCTGCCAGCATTCAGGCACCATTATCGTCTCTGGCATTGTCTGAATCTCCATTTGCTACCGGAGCAATCTACCCACTAACTGATCTATGACAAACAGACCCATCACGACAAAGCTGTTTGAGTTGCAGATAGTGTGTAACAAAATATGACTCTTTGGGCTCTTTCCAGATCTTTGTAGCGAAGTTTCCCCTCTGTCCCTGGAGAAAACGGCCTCCTCCACCTCCCTTCCCCTCCTCTGATTGTCAGGAAGCTGTAGGTGACCGGAAAAGAACTTGTCCAATTTGATGAAATAATCCCCTACTCAGACCCTAGTTCTTGGCTTCAAGGCAGCTTGCTTAGTGGCTTCTCTTGATGATGTGGTGGTGTAGTCTCCCAGAATTTGTACTTTGTGGTACTCAGAGTGATTCCCACTCCCCCTGCCATCTCTCAGGATCCCACCCTCAAACTAGAGCCTGAACTCCATCACTTCTCAGTGCCTGTGTCATCTGGAGCCCTGCCTCTAACATTTTCCCCTGGATTAGTGCAACTCTCTCCTCACTCATCTCTCAGCTTCTGCTCTTGTCCCTTGAGGCCCCAACCATCTCTCCTCAATTTGGTAGACGATGCTTTTCTTTTGCAGTTCTATAATAATCTATTTGGAATTTTTAAAAAATGGAATTGAGGCCCAACTAGATGGATCTGCAGGTAAAAATATTTGCCACACAAGCTTGACAACTTGAGTTTGACTCCCCGGAGCCCACAAAAATGTTTGATGTGGTGGTTCATATCTGTACTCTTAGCACTCTTACCTTGAGATGATAGGTGGGGACAAGACAATTGTTTGGAAGTCCCTTGGCCAGCTCACCTGAAATATACAGAGGGGCAGAAACAAGACAGACCTAGCCTCAACAAAGTGAAAGGACAGAATTAAGTCCTGAACCTCCACATACAGGCCATAGCACATAGGCCTACTGTGCTCTAGCATGAGAACTTTTTAGCTTTCCCCTTTATTCTTGTCCTCATCACCCAAACCCATCACCTGTCTGCTCTTTCTAGCCACTGGTACTTTTCTACCTCTACACATAAAGATGAAGCAGTTCTTTAAGATGTCAGTCATTGGCAAACTGAGACCCTGTAAAGCTGTAGACTGCTATTGGTTGTAGAGTGAGACCTTGCTTTAAAAAAAGGAACAGTAACAAAATCAAAATATGAACCACATAATAGGTCTCTCTTAAAACCTGGTGCTCATTCTTCATCTCTCAGAGGTGAGGACAAAGTCTTGGAATGTATTTTTAGATTATTTCATGCATTGTTGTCTTGACTGTATGCGTGTCTATGTACCATGTATGTGCCTGTTGCCTGAAGGGCATTGGGTCCCCTGGAACTTAAGTTACAGATGGCTTTGAGTCACCATGTGGGTTCTGGGAATGGAACATGGGTTCTCTGTTAGAGCAACCAGTGCTCTTAACAGCTGAAACATCTCTCCAGCTCTCTTGGGGCCTGACTTGATCTTGTAAAAATACTTCTGTTTCTTTCTAACATTCTTACTCTAATCTAGCTAGAATAATCTCTCTCTCTCTCTCTCTCTCTCTCTCTCTCTCTCTCTCTCTCTCTCTCCTCCTCCCCCACCTCTCCTCTTCCTCATCCTTCTTCCATATTAGCTTGCTATGTTGCCCACACTGGTCTTGAAATGATGACCTCAAGTAACCCTCTGGCATTAGCCTCCCAAGTACCTGGGGCTGTGGGTACATATCATGACACCTCATTCTTTGCTTTTCCTCGAACAAGGTCATGCACACTCTTGTCTCAGGGTGTTTCCTTTTGCCTGGAACTCTCTTCCCTCATACAATCTTCCTGTGGGTCACTGGTTACCCTCTCAGAGACACCACGCCAACTTTCTTACCCAGATGGTAAAGCGCTCCACCCTCAGATTATTACTCTCCTCTGTCATTTTCAGGGGCCTGGGCCACCCTCCTACATACTGTAAAGTTGATTTATTTTGTGGATTATACTTCTGTGCTCTCTCTAGTCTACCACAGCTCCTTCCAGGAGAGCTTTCTCCCATGATGGAAACCTTCTCTATCTGTGGTGCCCAACAGGCTTGGTGGTAGAAGCACATGCTGTTGAACACTTGAAATGTGGGTGGTTGGTGAGAAGTTGTACTTTTAATTGAATTTTATTTTAATTTAAATTTAAGTCATCACATGTAGTCAATGACTACTGCATTATATAGCATAAGACTCGAGGGTCTGCTTCATGGGGATAGAATTTTCTGAAAGGCAACTTAGATGTCATGTGTCCATAGAAGTTATGATAGTCACCCAGCTTAACGCTGTAATACTTTTGTGCCTGTGTGATGCTGAGGGTTGTACTCAGGGCTTTACAGATGCTAAATAAACATTCTGCCATTATGCTGTATCCCCAGTTCTTACTCTACAATCTTGCTTTCAAAAGATTTCCCCTAAGGAAAAGTTAGAAGAAGCAAAATGCTCACCACTGCACTAGTATGGATAATTGTGAAAAAATGGAAATAATCTAAATGTCTAAGTCTTAAGGGTTGATAGTAAAACAGAATGTCCATGTGGCAGAAGCCATGCAACCATTGAATTTGTGTGGATTAGTAATTGCTGCCATGGATAACAATTCATTATTAAAAGTAGAAAGAGCTAATAAAGCAGTGTTTATGTCATAATTTTGACTTCAGGGAAAGTTTATATTGTATAATCTGGTAGAAGGTCATACAAATTTAGTTTTCTTTGATGTCTTTTTCTTTAGATTCTAAATGTTTTGCAATGGACACATACTACCTAATTATCAGGACATAAAGCTGATATAACATTTTACTTACAAAACAGTTGTCTCAGCTTGGACTATCAGAGGGGCCCCAGGCAGTAGGACCATGATACAAACCTGGTACATGAGCTAGCTTGTTGGAGATCATTCCTTAGGGTGAGATGCCATGCTCCATGGCGCTAGGACCATGATATAATCCCAGTACATGAACTAGCTTGTGGTAGCCCATTCCCTATGGTGTGATGCCATGCTCAGCCTTAATGCCTGGGAGAGAGACTGGGCCCTGTCCAACCTAATGAGCCAAACTATGTTGACTCCTCATGGGGACCCTTACCCGTAAAGAGGAGTGGACTGGGGATGGGCTAGGAGGGAGGTGAGGGGATGGGAGGAGGGATGGGAGGAGGGATAGGAGGGAAAACTGTTGTTGAAATGTAAAATGAAATACATTTTTTTAAAAATAAAAAAACCAGTTGTCTCAAGGCTGGAGAGATGGTTCAGGGGTGAAGAGCATGTGCAGATGGCTCTTGGTTTATCATAGATCATTACAGTGTAGTGTGACAATATCCTAAACTGGAGACAAGATGTTACAGGAACAGTCATTTCTGCTGGGATGAAGTGACCACTGAAAAGCTTCAGGCAGATGATCAGCTCAAGTCAAACCTAGCTATATGATCATGGACCAGGCTTCTTGCTTCTTTTTGCCTCAGTGAACTATCTAAAATGGGTATTTCAATTTATGTTCCAGATGCCTCCCCTGACCAATTTTTAGGTCACCTATGTAGAAGATGCTGTTGATGTTGCTCCCATGATACCTTCTGTTTCCAAACATGTGATGCTCCTCTTGAGGGTGGGCAAGCCAGGAAATCCTTTAGAGGAAACCACTAATATGTGGGAGTGGGAGAATCAGTATTCAGAGGTGCTCAGAGTGATGGGGTCCCACTGCTGAAGATGGTCACTTTCTT